AAAAAAGCAATAGATGAGATGAAGGTAAAAAGTTAAATCTGCCATTTTTCACTCCAATGCTAATTTAAATAATTAAAATTATTTTTCCTCTGCCACCACTGACTCGCAATTCCAATATTTCTGGTACAAAAATATTTATTTTTTTTCTCTAATGAACAAAAAATCTCATTATTCAGCAAGTTTGAGCTTGAGAAACTATTAGCAAAGACAATTTGGTTTATTTCATTAAGAAATGCTTCTCGTTGGATAGTCTCGACTTGTGATTTATCGTGATTACTTAACGTCCGACCGGTAATATTAAAATAACCCATCAAATACACAGTACTCAATACTGAATGAAATATAAATGGAAGTCGTTGTTAACGTGAATTGGGCTGAGCTCGGTGTTCAAATTTTTATTATTTATATACATCACCTATAGTATGACCTGGCGATGAAATTAAAAATTAAAACCTAAATTTGAAAAATCAATAATAACATGCAATGTTAAAAAAAAAACTGAATTCTTCTTTTAAGATTAAATAAAGAATATCATATCATTAATTTAGAATCAAACTCTAAATTCCTCTACTTAAACTCATGCAGAATCTGATCATTGATTTACCATAACCATATTTTCTGTACTATATTGTGTAAACTATAAATGTATAAAAAATAATAATTATTAAATGTGATAGATAGACATTCCTTATTTTATTTTTCACGAACGAATCTATGTGGGATCAATTTTACTGAGATCAAACTAAAACATTCAATAATATTCGATTTGTAACGATATTGAGTTATAATCAATCTATCAAAAAAATTTGTATCCAACATTAATTTTTATTTAGAGCAGTTGTACAATTTTATGATTAATCCTGTTATGTTGAAGTACTAAAACTGTAACTAGCATATTATTTTWAAAAAAAAATGTATTTTACTKTAGTATATTTAAAATAGTTTTATGCTGAAATGATTTAAATTAATTATTGTAAATATTAGGATTAATTGGCATTTAGCGTGTACTTAAGTACAAAATAGTAGTGTGATATTTGTACAACGTTATAATAATGGAAAATATTTCCAAAATTCCTAGATTTGATAATTTTTTATTTAATTCATTACCTAATTGTAACAACAAATTTTGTTTCAGATGCTCATATCTGTCCTAAGCGTGATTTTAGTCAAGGCTTTGCAAAAGGAAGAGAAATTCAACTATAATCGATGATAAAATAACGTCAATTAGTTTAACTTTTTTCACTTTGTAAAATAAAATTAATTAGCTGTTTTTTATTTTCATATAAACAAATTATGTGATTTCAATAAACACTTTCTTACAGCATGGTAATGATTTTAAAGAACGCACTTTACTACTAATTATCAATGTTTTTACTACTTATTGTGTAAAATGGTTATGACGTCTTAATAAATCAAATTATTTTCTATTTTCGTAGGTATCTTAAATATTTCTTCTTTCTTTGTTTAATAACTTGATAAACAGTAGCGTATAATAATAAATTGAAAGCAAAATATTTGTCTGATTATCGTACATTATGTAAATATCGTTTTTTAGCTATATATTTTATCACTTATAATTATTTACAATTATTAAATGTATAATATTTAAAGGAGCAAAATGAAGATTTGGTAAAAAAAACCAACAGGTACATTGTACGTAATATGACCTAGATTAAAGAAAATATTTTTTAAATAATCATTTAAGTAGAATTACTAAAATTGTATTTTTTTTAAATACTACAAAAGGTCCAGCTTAAAAGCTTAACGAGAAAGTAATAGGGTCACGCAATGTTGCAGAAATAGAACAACCAGACCAATTTATTATTATTAGATTTATTATACAAAATGTATTTGATCTGTATAGTGTATTACACTATACAATATAGCTGCCTACCATTTTCTGACTTATTGTATTATTAAATCGATAATTCTTCGTATAGCCTATGGCCGGCACCATTGGAGTACACTTCAGAAGTTGTGATGTATTTTATAGAATTAATGGATGCTTTTGTAATTCGCGTAAAGTTAGGTTTATAATATTTGTCATCAGATTTTAAGTCTCTTCATTGCGAGCGTAGAGAAACAGGATATACAGAAAAAGTGAAGCATACTCAAAATTCAAGAATTTAAGAGTTGTACAAATCATATATATTAATGATTCAATATTATTTGCCTTATATAAATAGAATTCAAAAATATTTACAATATAAGTAACTCTGAACTGTGTGTGTGTGTGTGTGTGTGTTGTGTGTGTGTGTGTGTGTGTGTGTGTGTGTGTGTGTGTGTGTGTGTGTGTGTGTGTGTGTGTGTGTGTGTGTGTGTGTGTGTGTATCAAGTAAAATATTTATGGTCTCTCTGTATAGATGATATTTCTGCACAAACAATACACAAATGATTGACATGATAAGAAGTTCAAATTTTAAAAGGGGAGCATTTAAATGGACCTACTCTCAAGAATGCCTTTTTTCTTTATATAAATCCTTGGTTAGATCAATATTTAAGWATAGTTCTATGGTGTGGTCCCCTTTTAAAAATAGTTACGTGCAGCGTCGAAAACCGCTTTTTTAGTTTTGCTGATAACCTAACCTTAGTATTACCCATCACGATTACAGATCTTTCTGCAAGTTTTTCGGTCTCAAGCCGTTATCAGAACGTCGCATCATGTTTTGTATAAATTTCATCTAAATTTTAATTAACGGTGAAATTGATGCACTGCGCTTGCTAGAGCTAATTTGTTTTCGTATCCCAGGCAACACTAGGCTTTAGGAACCCTTTCACTTGTCGACGGGATGATGGAGCTTCACAAAAAATGTTCCCATTACAATAATGATGTCTTTTCTCAATACTAACAAATTATCTTTTGTACCAAGACGACATTGTTCTATCTTGTAAATATTTTTTAAATTTACACTTATCTATTACCATCTAATGKCACTATGGTTGAAAGCCAAATATCGTTAAGTTATAAATAAAAAAATAAGTTGGTTTAAAAAAAATTAAGTGACATCGATAAATTTAAGTAGTACGAAAAAATCACCATAAATGGTTTGAAAAAATGGTGTTTAAATATATTTGAAATTCTATAAATCAGATTTAGAATACTTGCATACTTGTAGAAAAAAAGAAGATGAGCTAACCATGTATAGGTACTTATACGAGTACATTTATTTACTGTAGAACTTTAAAACGATATTTATTTTTTGAGTATGCGAAAAAACATTTGATTGATATTAATATTAAATTAATATTGAATACGTTTTTTGAAAATAGCATTTTGTTAAATCTGTATGTGACATTATTGGTGTAAACTTAATTCGGTTAATAATGATTACACTATCGAATTTAATAATCAATTGATTTTGAAAGTACATTGATTGTAATTTTTTGAATCTCATCAAAATAATATTTAGAGTTTGAACAACTTACAACAGTAGTACTAGTTCTAGTATTATAAATGATTTAAGAAGATGTGAATGCCTTTTTTTTGGTGTTCCRATACGAACAAATAAAAACGATATATTTTCATGGCAACATTGAAAAAACTCATTTTTGCAGAATCGTTTATTTTTATGTTGTTGAGTAATCTTGGAGCAAAATTACCTATTTTGTAAATTTGAAATATATTTAAATTGTAATGAGACAATATTCAGACAAATCGATACGTTTTACTCTAAAAAATATTATTCACTAAAGTTTTTTGTTATGAGTTATTTGACTCTAAGATTGCCTAAAAATAAAAAATAAATTATTTAGTGTAAATGTGTTTTTTCTTTGTTGCGTGCGTGCCAGAGGAAGAAAACAAACATTGCGATGACAGCCTCTTAAATGAAATCGATTAATATCTACAAATTGTGTATTTTAACATTATGTTAATTTTACCAAATTTGTTTTACACTTGAAATTTATTTAATAGAACACATAACTTACGATTTTTCTGAGTTTATTTAACTTTATGTTAGTTTGACATTTTGTTAGTAGGTTGCAAGAATACCATCTTCAGAGATATATTATTATTATTTACTATATAACTTATGTGGGTGTCTTATAACCAAATTCATATTTATCAGTTTATTTTTATGTGTAATGTGCATATGACTACTATACTCGATTATGCTTTCATGTATGTGTTAAATTTGTATAAGATAATTTAATGTTTGGTTAAATATCAACGTAGTTTAACTGGAATTTAGTGTCAATTTTGCAACGTCATGTTTCATTGATTTATTACCACTTATATGTAAATGTAAGATTTTTTAAAGATATTTTAAAAAATAATTATGCATAAGAAACTGAAAAAATTTATTTAATTTAAAAATTATAAGAAAAAAAACTGAAAATGGCACATCCCTCAATATTTCAATATAAGACATTTACCAGTCAATTTAAAGAAGTCCTCAATGAAGACAATTGGATGAAATCCCTTGAATTTCTAACCAAATTKAATATTGTAAAAACTATCGACTAATATTAATCTGTATCTGGTAGGATGCAAAAAAAAAGACCTAACCATYGTATAGCTTTTTTTTAGACAATATCTGTATATTCATGTTTTTTATTTGAAGTAACCAATTATTAGTAAATCTGGTTTTCAGAAGAAAACAAATCGTTTCTAAAAACATTTATTTAAGCCATGTAATTTATTTTATAAAATTTTTGAAATTCATTGTTTTCGCTAATTAAAATTAATGAACTACTCGTAGTAATAAAATAAAAATTTAATTCAAAACGAATAACATTTTTTTTAAAACTGCTATTAAAAATTGCAGGTATGGCWATTAAAATTTAATGCTTCTTAAGTATCATGAATTATAAGAAATAATTTGATATTTTAGAAAATCATAAAAAAATAATACATACATTTTTTTTCATTAATAACAAATATACTTAAAAATCGTATATTATACGTGTAAAGCTCAAATCAATAAATTTAAAAAATTTAAAACCATTGCTTAGAACACAAGTAATTTCATTTGACGAGTTTCTTATTACACTCTGTATATTAATAAATATTACATAGTAAATTCTGTAAATAAATGTAAAACGTTATATTAAACTTAAATTTAATTTATTGTACACAAAGCTAATAGCTTAGTTGCTTAAGCTTCAATAAATAATTTAAAAAATGATTTAATTTCCCTCTATAAATATACAAATAGATCTATAGATAGTGATGTAAGAAATGTACCTACACATTACTAATTATTGTTCTTGCATAATATATCATTTTATCGTCAAGATCAATGTGTAGGTACATTTTAAAACGTCGTTCATTTTTTTTTTTTTTTTTTTTTTTTTTTTTGTACAACGTGTCTTGGATTTAATAAATGAAATATAATTTTAAAAACGATGGAAAAAAGGTGGTTTTCAAAACGAAACATAAGATTTGTAGATCACGTGACCGGAAATCGCTGAACGGATCAGAGGTTGGTTCATTTCCGATCATAAATCTTGATCTCGGTCAGTAATGTTTTATTCAGTTTTCAGGGGGTTAAGTATTGTACAGCAAATGTATTGGAAACGCCATTTTATGTCTTCGTCGTCCGATTTTATAACCGTGGTGTATTATTTCCGGAAAAGATGCAACCAGCTATCATCGTTGGCTGTGGTTAGCCATGCAAATATGTAGATGCACATTATCATAGTGTAATAATAATTATTGTTATGACTTAATAGTTCATAGATCCATAAACTTCGTTTTGTATACAATTTTAAAAATGCAAACCGTACTACGGATTTCAAGAGTTCAAGGAAAGTAATTTTATGATGGTGATCACTTATTTTTATACTAACAAATGAAATACATTTTGTTCTAATCTATATTTTTAAAAATTGTTTTTTATAAAATGTATTAATCTGTGCATAACACTGTTATGCTTAAAAATAAACAGTAAATCTGGTAATTTATTTTTTTTTTTTGAAAGTTTAGATTTTACAAGTATGGATAATTATTTAAAAATTCTCATCAAATACATATTTAAAAATAATTTATACTTTTAGAACTTAAAATGAATTTAGGGCTATATCGAATGTTATTAAATACTTAACAAAAAATAAGATTGAAACAAAAATTCTAAGAAATAAACTATATTATAACTTAAATAAATGTTTTTACAATGCAATTTTTTTTTAAATTAACGCTTAAAAATTGGCTATATTGAATTCTTCAAAAAAAATTTATATCTAGTTTTTAAATTTGTATTTTCGGAACTAAAAAAAAAAAATTATTTAATATAGGTCTACTATACGTATAGAACAAAAAATCTGTACTAAAATAATATTAAATGATATTGATTACAACAATATTTCATTTGTCAGGTCTTCCTTCCTGTTATTCTTTTTCGTGGTGTATCTATGTATTTTATTTTATGTTGTTTTTTCAATCTGTTCATATAATTATTGTTGTAAGAACGACTATTTGATTATATAG